CTTACACTGCTAAATTAGGGCCGGCTAGCGCAGATAGCCCTCGTGTAGCTTTGCGCGAAATTCAAAAAAAAAACAAAAAAACTACCACAGTGTTCGTTGAATAGACTACCTTTGGTGTCTGGCCATGCTTTAGCCTGATTCATAGTTAGGTATTCCAGTTTTCCTTTTAGCTCTTTTCTCGTTATGTGTAATTCGATTTTTTTCTGGTGTACGGTAAAAACTTTGTTCTTTGTGCTGCACGGTGTTCCTCTTTCTTCTTTTATATTCACGAGAACCTCTTTTCGTACACTTTGGTTAACCAAATCCTTTCTATAAGCTTCCCGTTATAATGAAGATGTTACTGGTATATGTTTTAATTATTCTGCACAGTGTTGGTTGGATAGGTTAATTTTGGTGTCTGGACTTGATTTTGTCTGATTAGAGTGTTAACAGCCAGGCAAACCCCTTTTTACTCCTTTAAGTTGCTCATTAATTAAAGTCTCATACACACATACACACTAGTACCAGCCCAAGACAGCGAACCTCAATGGACCTGAAGGATCCCATTATTCAATATTGTGTTCAAATCTTTATGTTTCTAAAGACTCCAATCTGTCATTATCTGGCTCCCACTTGAGAATGTTCATGCACAAACCACACCTTTGTGGATCTTCTTGTATGTATAAGTTGTTGATCCAAAGTACAATAAGACCTTATGGTCTCATGGATCTTCTTGTATCTATTTGTTGATCCAATGTACAGTAAGACCTTATGGCCTCTTTCTTATCCTCAGACTGTCCCCTCCTCATCCTGAGATGAGGAGATTCAGATTCACCTTCAAGTGTCAGGTACAGATATCTTATGACGATTTGGGTCCAAGCTCTGGTAGCACATCCTTCTTAGTGGAATGTTAGAGTCCTACAGACCAACTAAATGACAAATTATGCATAAGTTCTGGCAACTTGCCTGTTTGGCTGAGCTCCTCACATAACCACAGATGTGGAAGCAATGCATCATGGTCCTCAGTCGGGTGTGGTCACTGATCAGGGCGAATACAATGATTTCTTTGGGTCAGAATTTGTGGTGGTTCCCTTGGCATAAGCAATGTTGAGCATTTTTGGTAACACCTATAGTAGTAAGTGGAACAATTAACTGATGCAGTAAGTCTGCTTCTAAAATGGCCGTGCTTTAGCCAAGACTTGCTATAACTATATATTTGTAAGAAAGTACCGACCGAAACAGTTTCGAGCTTCTCCATTAAAAAAGTTGATAATTACTGACCAGAATGGTGGCTTTACTGGAAGCATGTCATACACCACAAATTCTTGGCAACTCCTGTATCCATCAAAAAACACTCTCGCGAAGCATGATCTTTCAAATAGGTGAGTTTCAGTCTGCAGAAATGCCAGCCCAGTAAAACCCAGGATTGCAAGACTGCAGCTAAAAGTACAAGTTGTGTTTCATGAACTTTGTAACCACTAGCCAGTAACCACCTGTCAATGGAGGCAGTACAGGAAAGGTAGTATTT